ATCTGGTGTGAGCTTTAAGCTGCCAGGTCTGGGACTTGAACAGCAGTCGAGTACATGGGAGTCCAGCAACGTAAGCATTATGCCATCTGTGGGCCCCAAAAAGAAGTTCTTGAAGTGAAGCCTGTCAGCTACACAGTGGCAGATGGAGAGGAAGGAACATGGCCTCTGAGGATGAGCACCCAACCAAAGGCCCAGCCCCAAGAGGAAATTAAGGCTTGCCACTCCTACCCCAAATGACAATGCATTGTGACATCTGTCTGCCAGTGCGTTTATCACCTCGGAAGCTGTCTCCACATTCCCTCCTCCAGTCAGGGCGTCTCCTCCTCTCTAAGACTCCATCAAAACTCTGGTTGGCCAAAAGCTGTCCATGGGTGGCCAGTGCCAGTCTTAAAGCTGGTGTAAATTCTACACTGATTCCACCTGAGCCTTCTCCCACTCCCACTATCCCCCACAAACTCAAATTCTAGGTGGAATGAAGTAGTTGGGTAGGATTTCTGATCATCACAGACTTGATAGGACGGGAATGAACCATCTCATTATGGAAAGCACAACCTTGCAGACAGCATCGGGAATCTATTCTGCTCACTGAATCCTGTTTAGACGACTGATACATTTAGCCCAGTTTACTGCCTTAAGGGGACTGACACCAGTAACAGAGAGAGCAAAGCAAAGAAAAATGCGGAGATCAGAAAATTCATGAAAAGATGTATTCTTCATGGTTATCACTGATGCCTGGAATAATGGAACATGGGATGGATCCATAAGAGAGAGAACGGAGCCTGCTGCATGGCTGCCTGGCCCTCAGAGGCTCTATGGCCAGAGCTGGAGTGAAAATACCTCCGAATAGTTTTCAGAAACACCAGCTTTCCTACAGACAGGACGGTGTTGGTGTAGAGCCAACAAAGGTGACTCACCTTTCCTGGATCTGTTCTGGCCTCTGAAGCTCAGAAGGTTGGTAACCGGCTCAAGATACATGGTGATAGAGCGATTCGCCCCAGATCTGTCTGACCCCGGAGCAGCTCTCTGTATGCATTATACCCTGGGAGTGCTTCTCATCTCTGCACACTCCCCAGTATCCCTGCATGGCCCTGACTAGCAGCAAGTTACTCAGGTTTCTGGGTTCCAGAGGCTAGACAAAGCAAATGCTTAGTGGCCTTCCCTATCTTCCAAGACACCTTGGACATGACTCAGGTTTCTGCATATTACATAAGTTTAAAAGACACCCAAAAGAAATTGAAATTAAAAAAAATAATGTAATAATGATAATATAAATAATATCATTATTTATAATATACAATAATGTAATTGTTATATATTATATTACATTATTATTGTTGTGTATTATTATAATATGATATAATTATACTGGATAATTATAATAATATAAACAGTATCATAATTTATATTATTAAAAGCATCCAGAGGGCTGGCCCTATAGTACAGTGGTTGAGGGGGCCAGATCACACGTGGCTGACCACTGTCGAATCCCAGCCCTAGCCTGAGAAACACAATGGGTGCATTTGCATACATGCCCCAAATCCTAACAAGATGAAGAAACAGAGAAGGAACTACAGTGTGACTACACCTCACTAGAGGGTGCTTTTTCCTTCTCTCTCTTCTCTTTTCTCTCCCTTTGGTGGGAGCATGTGCCCTCTGTGAACAGATAAATCAAAAGAAACAAAAGACAATGGTATAAGTAAATGACCTCAATGTCTATCATTCAGAGCACAGAACTGAAAGACTGTCAACTGACAGATCAAGATATAGTAAAAGAAGCATACGTTTAATTTATAAAGTCTAAGAGGACTAATGCAGGAGTACTCAACCCCTGGGCTACAGACTGGTACCAGTGCCTGTCCTATTAGTAACCAGGCCACACTGCATGGGGTGGGCAGCTCCATCTGTATTTACTGCCACCCTGCATCCCTCACATTACCAACTGAATTCTGCCTCCTGTCAGATCAGTAGCAGCATTAGATTCCATAGGAGTGTGAACTCTATTGTGAACAGCACATATGAGGGATCTAGGTTGTACACTCTCATAAACCATCCCCTCTACCCCCACACTCCCCTACCTCCACCCATAGAAAAATTGTCTTCCATGAAACTGGTCCCTGGAGCCAAAAAAGTTGGAGATTGCTAGACTAAAGGACAAAAGAAAGAAAAGAAAATGATGAAACTTAGAGCAAATGAACTATGCCTTTTATTTCATGGTCTTTTTCATCTTTATATACGTGTGTATGTGTGTATAAAAGAGATTTTTTGGTATAGGGTGCATGTGTTCGCCAGAGAGAGAGAAAGTGAGAAATCACCCACCGGGGGGATGGCGACACCACAATCCTTTCTTCTCCATTCTCCTTTCAGAATTTTGGGCATGCACACACACATGCCCAGTGTGAGTTTAAGCCACCAGGTCCGAGACTTAAACTGCAGTCAGCTCTGTGGGAATCCAGTGATATAACTATTATGCCATCTGCCTGTCCCCATCTTTTAATATTTTTACTATTTGCTTGAAATGATCCAATATAAATGAATAAAATTAACCAACTCTACTATGAACTTTTCTAACCCTTTACCTGACTAGTCTAGGTAAGGCCCCATGCCTCTGGAGGCAGGAGCAAAGTCAACATGCCTTTCACCCTCCAGTGTGCTCCATCCTAGCATTAGTGCTGTGTTAATTCAGTGTTAATTCAACACTCACTCTGTTGAATTTGTAAATAAGTGGTCCCCTCCACTGTCTGGTATTGCATATCTACTATTCTCAGGCCAATCTAATCTTTCACCCTTCCCCAAACAGTGCCACTCTACACATAGCTCTCACAAGATTAAAGGCTCATGCCCCTGGTGCTGGGAAAGCACATAGTCTTACTGATGGAATCAACAGAATCATTTGACATTTAAGACTGAGGACTTGCAGGTACACAGCAGCGGATGTGTGCTGTGCTGGGACTGTGGCCACCAGGAGCTGGGGCAGGGAGTGGGGACAGCAGAGTCCTGGAAGCAATGAGGGCAGCACTCCTCACTGTCCCCTGACACTCCCTGCTGTCCCCCAACACTCCCTGCTGTCCCCTAACACTCCCCGCTGTCCCCCAACATTCCCCATTGTCCTCTAAGACTCCTTGCTGTCCCCTAATATTCCCCACTGTCCCCTAAGACTCCTTGCTGTACCCTAACACTCCTTACTGCCCCCTAACACTCCCTGCTGTCCTCTAACACTGCCTGCTGTCCCCTAACACTCCCTGCTGTCCCCTTCTCCACTCACCTGCCATGGTCCGGACAGCCATGCTGCCCCTTCCACAATGTGTGAAAATTCCACACCCATTTTAAACACAAGAGTTTTAGAAATAAGGAGAATGCTAAGTTATAGGTTATTTTTATTTATTTATTTTTTTACAAATATTAAAAATGGAATTTCCAGAGGACTCTAATACTTCATTCTTGCCTTCTGGCTAAGTCAAAATGATGACAAAAATGAAGAGATTTTAGGTTCAAAATAACCAGATTGCTGAGTGGACCTTGTGGGGACATTCTTCCAGTTGTCCAAGCCAAATACCTTGGGGTCCTCCCTGAGTCTGCCTTCTTTTATATTCCAGAGCCCAATACGAAACGCAGGGCGTGCCAAAGCTCTAATCACGCCCTTTCTCACACAGCTTAAGGCTGGTATATCTTTCTCCCAAATGAATGTCTTCCCCAAATGAATTTTCCTTTTCCTGAGACGCACGTTAGACTTTACGTTTCTTTACAGGTACCTTCCCTGCTAGGTGGTAAGCACCCTAGTGTCATCTTTATGTTTTTCTTAATTGCCAAAAGGTACATGCGGTCATGAGAGCATCCCTGATGAGACAGAGTCTCACTGCAATCTCTTCTCCATTTCTCTATCCTGTCAGGATTTGGGGGCACACACACACACACCCACACACACATGTCTAGTGTGTTTTTCAAGCCACCAGGGCTGGGATTCAACCTGGTCCAGCTGTGTGGGATCTGGCTCCCTTAATCACCAGGCCAAGGAGCCAGCCCCATCAACTTTATTTCTACCATAGATATATATATATATCTGTATATGTGTGTGTATGTGTATATACATATATATAAATTTGACTAGAGGGGGATAGAGAGAGAGAGACAGAAGGTAAGAAAGACAAGCCAGACAAGCCACCAGGTCCAGGACTCGAACCATGATCAGCCACGTGGGAGTCCAGGGCCCTTAACTACTACCACACCAGCTGTCAGCCCCTCGCCTTTCCTTTTCTCTTCTCTTCTTTTCTTTTCTCTTCTTTTCCTTTTTCTTTTTTCTTTCTTTTTTTTGACCTCACATATAGTATATATTCAATTTGTGCTGTCTGATGAAAGACAAGAAATCTGCCAATTAAATAATTAGTGGATTTTTAAAAACCATGTGGTAGCCACTGTGCTAGCAGTTGGGTATGTAACAGTAAAACAAGCCTTTCCTCAGTGTCTAAGAAGTCGCCATGACTAAACCCACAGAATCTCAAGGGAACTCGGGTTCGTGGATGAGGGGAGTTAGGGTTGGCCTAACACATAGCCTTCTCTATCACCCTGATTTCTTCCAAATTTATGCACTTCTGCACAGCCAAGCAGCAGCAGTATTAACATTATAGTGCATGAGAAAGTACAACTGCAGAGGAGTCAGAAAAGCACTTCTCTGGCCTCAGTTTTCCCATCCATAAAACCGGAAAGTGGGGGGGGGTGGTGCTGGGCCATACGATCCCATCCAGCCTGATGGTTGGTTTCCTTTTTTCAGGTCTTCTGGGCTCTTTTCCTGGCACATGTGACAGAAAGCTGTACAGGTACAAATCCGATTCTCCCAAGAACTGATCACTAATGCTCTGGATGGGTTCCAGTAAGACTTGGTAACAGGAACTCTCAAACCATACAAAGGACAGGATGTTATCAGAAACGCCAGTGCATGCTCACATGAACTAAAGATTTCTGAAGTCGAAACCCTGCTTCCCTCGTCCACGCTAGAGGTATCTCACCTTAGTCGTTCTTCCTCTTTTTTGCGAAGATTGAAGTCTCTCTGAACCACCTGGAGAACATGCTCTGTTTCATCGTCGGTCAAACCGGACAGATCCAGCTTCCTCCCCATGACTTAATACCAGACACAGAGGATGAGACAAGACCTGGGGAACAGAAGGAAGAGACACAAATTGAAGGCAAGATCAAAGCTCTGCATAAACAAAATCTGCCTATTTTGTTACGAAGACAGATTTAAACACAACGTTCAGGAACCAGCAGATGGCTTAAGAGTTACATCGCTGGACTCCCACATGGCTGACCACAGTTCGAGTCCCAAACCCAGCAGCTTAAAATTCACACTGGGTGCGTGTGTGTGTGTGCCTAGAATCCTAAGAGGAGAAAGGATTGTGGCATGGCCATACACTCTGGGAGGTGATTTCTCACTTTCTATCTCTGTGTCTCTCACTGTCTCTCTCTAGCAAGAGTACACACCCTATAGGAAAAAATATCTCTCAATAAATAAGTAAGTAAATAAATAAGTAAATAAATGGCAATGTTGATATGCATTTATGAAAGTTAGTAGTTTTCTCCGCACTCATACCCCACAAATATCTACAGATGATTTCAGCAAGGTTACAGAAAAAAGGGGAAGATAACTGATCCTCTGCCAGTTTTATCATCCTCTATTGCTTTATAGCCTTATTCGATAAGGATTTTTCCTGTTCAAAAAAAATTATTATTTTACTTTGTAAACAAAAATCTAAAATACAAACACACACATTAGCAAAAGCCTACACAGGATCAAGATTATCCCAGTATCAATGTAGTCCCCCTACACACCTTAACCCACAGGAAGGGCCACAATGAACAAGACAACCTGGAGATCCAATCAAACACAAGAGAAAATGATGCAATCAAGACACCAAGTGAACACGAGGCTGCTGCCAGCATCGCACAGAATCCTGTTTTATGGCACACATTTTTTAAAAAATGGAATACTTTCTAAAACAAAAAAGTATAGTATAGTAAATATACAAACTAGTAACAGAGTCACTAATTCGCATTATCAAGTTTTATGTACTGTTCATAGTTGTAGGTGCTCTGCTTTTGTTTTTCATCATCAAAAGGTGTGTGTGCTTGTCACAGAGAGAGAAAATGAGAGGGAGAAGCAGAACGCATGCCCCAACTGGGCATCGTCATGCCTCGACTCCTTCTCCTCCCTTTGTTCATCCCACGGGGATTTCGGACATACAGGCACATGCACCCAGCGTATTTTTTTAAGCTACTGGATGGGGCTGGGATTCAAACTGCAGTCAGCCATTTGGGATCCTATTCCCTTAACCCCTAGACTACGCAGTGGCTCTGTGTGTACTATACAACTGACAGTTGAGTAAGTTTGAGTAGGTTTTACACCACCGTCACCACAAGCAGGTGAGTAATGTGTTTTGCTATGACGGTACAATAGCTATAGTGTCACCAGGTCAGAGGAATCTTTCATCTATATTTTCACCAATGGTCTAATCATCATATATGTGTTGAATAGAAATCACTGGAACATCACTACACAGGGCATGACTGCATAGGTAGATATATTTTATTTCTGGGACTGCCATGCAAAGCACCATAGACAAAGTGGTTTAAACAATGGGCATTTATTTTCTCATAGTTCTAGAGGTTAGAAGCTCAAGATCAAGGTGTCAGAAGGGCTGATTTCTTCCGAGGTCTCTATCCATGACTTGTAGATGGCTGTCTCCTTCTGTCTTCACATGGTCTTCCCTCTGTACATGTCTGTATACAAGTTGCCTCTTCTGAAAGGACATCAGTGGTGTTAGATTAGGGACCACCCTAATCATCTCATTCAAGTTCAACTGCCTCCTTAAAGACCCTGTCTCTAAATTCAGTCACAATCTGAGGTACTTGTAATTAGCTCAGTAAATATGAAGTTTCAGGAAACACAACTCAGGTCCATGACATGTCATCCATGAACATCCATTTGTGGGTTAGGTTATGGTTGTGGTAGGGAAAATACCACTCAGCTCCATGCATCCCCAAAATTCATATCCTTCTCACCCTCACCCCATCCCAACAGCTCCAAAGGACTTAATCTATTGATCTTAACTCTGGGTCTGTGCCCATTGGGTCTGTGGTGGGAGTGGTGGTCCTGTGGACCCCTGAATCAGTTTTGGGGGGCATTCTTTACTTTTCTTGGAGGATAATGCACGTACACAGCTAGATAGTGCTATTGCCTGTCCTATAGAATTACAGAAACTTGACAGCCACCCTTCATTTTGCCCCAGCTCTGCTCTCTTCACTCTAAACTGGCAGTATGTCTACTGGTATAAAATCCTCTCAAACTTTATTGGTCTCTCACACAATCCACAGGGATCTACACCATCAGAAGACAGGGTCCTCCACATATCTTTCCTTGATAACCAACTCTCTACTCCTGGCCCCTGCTGAGATGGTTGATTGGATCCATAGTTCTTACCTAAAATCTCTTTATCGAATAGTTGTCCAATCATACCTTCTCTCCAGAAAAAAGCTTTTTAATTTTTTGCCATAGAGATAGGTTTAGTATTTCCCAAATCTTCAAGTTCTACCTCCTTAAAAATGTTTTCTCTTTGTTCATGATAGAGTACATGCTTACACACAAGAGAAAAAGACAAATGTATACCTTCCACGGGATCTGGTCATGACCAGGAACTTATGTGTGTGCTTGGTGTGTTTCAGGCCAGGGATTCGAACAGTGGTCACCTCATGGGATCCGGCTTCTCTTGAGCAGCATTTTACTGCTGTGCCATGGAGCCAGCCCTCTAGCTCCTTTTTACTTAGCAATTCCCTCTTCAATGTATTTCTATCCTCTCACAATTTGCTGTAAGCAACAAGGAGAAACTAGGCCATGCCTTTAACACTGCTTAGAAATCTTCTTAGCTAAAGTGACCCAAGTTTCTCATTTATAAATCCTACTGTCCACAAAATACTGGAACAAAATTGGGCCAAGTTTTTGCCACTTCCTAACAAGAACCTTCTTTCCTCCATTTTCCATCTGAGACCTCACTAGAAATACTATTAACATTGATATTTCTACCAACATTCTGTTTGTAATGACATATGTATTCTCTGAGATGACAGAATCCTTCTCCACAATGCTCTTACTTTTCTTTGGGATACCTCACCAGGATTACCTATAATGTCCATATTCTATCAGTCTCATAAGGCAACATAGGCTTTTTGTAACAGACACCTAAAAAGTCTTCCAGTCTTGAGACCAGCAGTTAGCGTAATGGCTATATCGCTAGACTCCCATGTAGTTGACCACAGTTCGAGTCCCAGACCCGGTGGCTTAAACTCACGCCAGGCGTGTGTGCGTGTGTGCCCAAGATCCTGAGAGGAGAAGGGAGGAGAAGGGATTGCGGTGTGGCCATCCTCTCTGGGGGGTAATTTCTTGCTTCCTGTCTCTCTGTCTCTCTCTGTCTTTCTGGCGAGTGCATGCGCCCTATAGTGAAAACCTCTACAAAACAAAAAGAAAAACCCTCTTCCAGTCTCTATCCATTATTCTCAGTTCCACAGTCACGCAGGGGCTTCGAAGTTATCATGAATGTTACATTGCATGGAAAGACAGTGTTGCTGCTGGTACTTCCGACTACGAAAAGGCTCAAGGTAGGGGTCAGCAGATGACTCAGCAGTTTTGTTGCTGGATTCCCACATGGTTCGCTGCAGTTTAGTCCCAGACTCAGTGGCTTGAAAATCACACTGAGCACTTTTGGGTGTCTCAAAGCCCAAGAGGACAATGGAGGGTAAGGGATTGGAGCGTGGCTATTCCCCAAGTGGGTAATTTCTCACTTTCCCTCTCACTATCTCTTTCTCTCTCTCTCTCTACAGCAAATACACATATCCTATGGCAATAAAAAACTAAAAACAAAAGGCTCAAGTTATGTATGCTTTTATCTGTAGAGTTTTTTTCATAAGCTTGTACAGTAAAATACCCCTAAAGCTAAACGAAAATAATAATCGAATTCATTTACAACATAATTAAAGCAAATTTTGAAAGACGTTGAGAATTATAATAAAAGTAATGATAATGAGGAAAATGTAATGATAATGATTTAAACAGATTTAAAATACTTTTTTAAAAAATTTTGCTAGAGGATGCATGTGCTTACCAGAGAGAGACAGAGAAGGAAAGTGAGAAAAAGCTTCCCATGGGGGGATAGTCACACCACAATCCATTCTCCTCCATTTCTCCTTTTGGGATTTTAGGCACATACACATGCACCTGAAGTGTTTTTCAAGCTGCCAGGTCCAGGACTCAAACCATGCAGTCAGCCATGTGGATCCCAGTGACCTTAACTACCATACCATCTGCTGGCCTGATCTACTACTATTGATTGAACACCTACTAAGTTCCAGATGCTTTAGTTTTTCATAGAAATTACATATTTTGAAAAACCTACTTGGATTTCAAAATTCTGCTACCCCAAAACCAAGTGGTACTTTAATTCCATTTTCCACAAACTTTTCGAAGTACCCATGCATACGACTTTTAATTCTCGTAAAATTTATAGAGGCAAACACCACCACCATTGTCATATTCTGAGATGGTGACAGCCTGGGCTTTGATGGTGTCCAGGTCTGACTCCACTCTGTCTTTCCACCTTGTGCACAGCTTCCTGTAAGATGCAGTTCTAGATCTCGGGTGTTAAACCATGAAGTCCAGGGCCAGCAGGTGGCATGGTAGTTAAAGTGGCTAGATTACTGCATGGCTGACCATGGTTCGAGTCCAGGACCCGGTGGCTTGACAATCATGCCAGGTACATGTACGTTCATGCCTAAGGTCCCGAGAGGGGGTAGGAGGAGAAGGGGTTGTGATGAGACATCCTCCCTAGGAGGCGATTCCACCTTTTCCCTCTCACCATTTCTCTCTGTCTCTCTGGCAAGTGCACATGCCCTATGGCAAAAAACTAATAAATAAATAAATAAATAAATAAATAAAGATCCAGAATATCTGACCGCTCTTTCTAGCACGTAACAACTAAGAACAGGAGATCCCATTACTTGGCTTCTATTTAAGAAAAGGTTATCTACCCTCTTCCTTCCCAAATAATGGCAATAAATGTAGAGAAGGAAATGGCTTTAGTCTTTAAGTCTTTATTAAATGATTTAA